AGACCTCAGTATTAACATTTATAGAATTCTCATACAATATCAGTTTGAAAGGGGAGCTGAATATTTAATTTACTGGGGCCCCCACATGCCCCAATCTTGCTTTACAGGATTTAGTGTTCATTCTAAGACAGTTCACATCTTATGAAATACAAATAAAAATACCAGATAAGAAAAAAAGGGATTAAAAAAAGATTTATAAATTCATTTTCATGCAGGATTTAGAATACTATGGCAATGGAATCTTACATACTTAAAAATGTCCAAGAAATTTTAAGTTTCTTGGAATGGAAACTGTACTAGAATTTCCAAGGCTTACGGTTACTGTTCACATATAGACATAAGGTGGGTGAGACAAACTACTGCATGCATTGTGCTGGAACACGTAAGCTTCTCCCACTCTCCAGGTGGGGCCAGAATGATGGAGGCTCAGGGTCGGACATAAACTGAACTAGTTCCAGTAGCTCAGTAGGTTTTTGTCAGTAGTAAGGTAGAGAAATTTCCTTCTAGAGGGGATAAAAATCCCTGTTTGAGAAAAAAAAAATCAAAACAGCCTTCTTATTAACTACATTATTCTTAAAGGGTTGATAAGAGAATCGACAAGTAAAAATCTGAGAAGATATCCCACAACTGGAACAAAAATTTGCAAAGAAAACTGTGGCAGTCAAACAGAACATTTTAGGAAATGTTATTAATTGGTTTGGAGGTTTGGTTTGATCTTGGTCTTCCCATTCTCCAGACTCAAGTTTGGAGAATGTTGAAATAGAGGACAAAGGTGTGCAGCAACATATAATTATCATTATGTATCGACTGGTCTATGATGTCTTGGGTTATGTAGCGGAGTTCCAATTTTAAGCACTTGCATTATTTCTAATCAAATAAGTTTCTTGAGGATATTTTTAAAATGAAATACTTGTTAAGTTGTTACATTTTATAAAATTTATAAATCAGAAATCATTTTAAAGCCCTGCTTTTTTCTAATTAAAAATATGTATAGGAGGCCGGGGATTTAGCTCAGTGGTTCCCCTGCCTGCCTCGCAAGTGCAAGTTCCCAAGTTCGAGCCTCAGTACCAAATATATATATTTTTTTTCCAACTGAAATCTACAAATGGCCAATGAGCACCATATATTCATCATCATTTGTCACTTAGGAAAATGTAAATCAAAGCAAAATGGTTTACCACCTCACAACCACTACGATGGTTAGAATTAAAATCTGTTAATAACAAGCATCAACAAGGTTATAAAGATGTAGGAACCTTCATATATTGCTGCCGAGAATATAAAATATTGCCGCTGCTTTGGAAAACATTCCAGTTCCTCAAATGATTAAACATAGTTTTTCAATAAGACAGCAATTTCATTGATAGAGAAATGAAAATTTGTGCTTACACAAAAACCTGTAGACAGATGGTTATGTCAGCATCATTCATACTAATAAACAGGTAGAAGCAAACTAATGTTCATCAATTGATGAATGGATAAATAAAACATGATATATCTGTACGATGGAATATTATTTAGCCACAAAACACTGATAAATGCTACAGCATGGATGAACATTGAAATTGAGCTAAACAAAAGAAGCCAATCACACATAAAAAACATGCATTATATGATTCCATTCACAGGGAAGTCTAGAATGAGGATATTTGGAGAGACACAAAGTATTTCAAGGGTTGCTCCTGGCTGAGGGAGAAAGGATACAATGTTGAGGTTTGTCTTAGTCTCTTATGCTGCCATTACCTATGATTGGGTAATTTATAACAAACAAGAATGTGTTCCTCACAACTCTGGAGAACGGGAAGACCAAGATCAAAGGACCAGTAGGTTCACTGTCAGGAAAAAGTCTGGACTCCATTCCAAGATGGTACTCTGAATGCTAAATCCTTTGGTGGAGAAAAACACCATGTCCTTGTGTAGCAGAGGGACTAACTCCCTTTGTCAAGCCCTTTTGGAAAAAGCCCACAGAACCTAATCCTCACAGCCTTTAGAAGTGCTATCTGAACTAACAATAACTGAATTTTGGAGGGGATATTCAAACCATAGCAGGAGCAATTACTTAGGGGTACAGATTCTTCTTGAGGTAATGAAAATGCTAAAGCAAATTGACAGTGGCAGTGGTGATGCACATATCTATGACTTGATCTAAAGCCACTATATTGTACACTTTAAATGTGTGACTTACACAGTGTGAAAAATATATCTCAAAGCTTTTTAAAAAATCACCCACCTTCCTAGAAAAGAAAAAAATTAAGCTTGTTACATAATACTGCTTGTGCTCCATCTTATTTAGATAATCTCTGGTTTCTGGGATAATTAGCAGTTTTGTAATAAGACAAGGGGCAGTCTTACAGAGAAGGAAATAATCGCAGTGGTCTTTTTAACCTTCCGTATAATCAAGCTCCATTGAACATTCCACAGCTACTGTGAGAAGCAGCTCTGCCAGCATATTCTAAAGAATTTATGAAGAGTGAGTTACCCTAATTTCAGAATTGTCAGAGTGAGAAAAGCACAGCTGCTTTCAATGGAAAGAAAATTAGATTGAAAAGAGAAAGGGCAAAGAAATGCTCCTATTGTTTGTGAAAGGCTCTTCCTCTCTCGGTTTCCTTAGTCCATGGGTATCAGGAAATGAAACTCTGAACCTGATATCTCCACAGGGTTGATTTCCCCCTGCACTTATATAAAAATCAAAGAGATATTCTTCTCATCTACATCTTAAGCAAAATAGTGTTTATTGTGCATTTACTCTGCAGGATAGTGTAGGATGATGATCTTTGAGGGAATAAAATAGAAACCTTAGACAATTTCTCGTCACTAAAAAGACTTGCCAAAAGCTTTTTCTTTTCTCAATCCAATATTTTTAAAACTAAAGCCTCTAGATTTGCATATATTTCAAGCAATGAGCGTAATGCCATACATGGATTCTCTCATTTCATTTTATACCAATCCTAAGAAGCATGTTAGTATAGACCTTTTAAAATGTATAACAAGTGTGACAAAATAATATATGAGACACTCATGACTCATATATTGGAACAGGTAGCAATCAGGGAGCATACCAAAATCAGAGTAAATCTTTGAACTTCAGCAGGTTAAGTTTTAAGACAAAGAAAAGTATTAGACGTGGTTTTGAGCTTATAAAATATGTAAAAATCATAACGAAGAGGCCACAGGCATAAATTCAGACTCTGGAAAGCTATTCAGTAAAAAGGTAATTACAAAATCCACTGAAGTTGGGAATGATACCACACACCTGTAATCCCATCACTCTTGGAGGCTGAGGCAGGAGAATTGCAAGTTTGAGCCAGTCTGAGCAATTTAATGACTTAGTGAGACCCTGTCTTGAAAAAACAAACAAACAAATCTGGGGATATAACATAGTGTGAAGGCTTTGAATTCAGTCCATAACACATATACATACACACATTCTAACACAAACACTGAAAGGCAAAAAAGAACTTTAAGACTGTATCTTGGTTCCAGGTGAAAAGGAGAAGACAAAATAATCTGCTCTGAGAATGTGTAATCAAAGTCAGCTTGCACACAGGCAAGCAATTCAAATATATCCAATTTACATGGTCTGAGAAACTCCAAATTGAGAAGTAAATTTAAAATTATAGCCAAATTTAAGAGTGCCTGGCAAAAAAATAAAACACTTTGAAGGGAGACATGCCAATGTAGGCCTCATGTAACTGCCAGGTAAAACATGAGCTTACAGTTCACAACTACAAACCATAAACTCAATCAAACCAATTTGAACAGATTAGCAAAAGCTCTCAAACACTGAATTGACCTTTCTAATTAAGACATTAACTATTTAAATTATGAGTTACAAGATGAAAGAGGGATTTTCTTTTGTGCAATGAGAAGGAAAAGACTCATAACTAAATGGATTTCTAAGTGCTGCCTATCTAAAATAATCTGAAAAACATAATAAACTTGATCTAATAGATGTATGTAGAACTCTGTACCCAACACATTCAGAATAAACATTCTTATCTAGAACACAAAATGTTTATGAAAATTGACCATTTGCCAGGTCATAATGCAAGTACCAACATTCATCTAAGAGAGGATATCACGCAAAGTGTGTTCTTTAATCACAATATATAAGCCCAAGAAAAAATATAAGAAAAATTTAAAAATGCTTTAACAATGTTGAAACATATGTTGCTAAGAATTTTTTTCTTTACGTTATGTTTCTTTGGGTTCATGTGAAAGTGTATAAATTTCTCTAAGATCCATAACACAAATATAACTGGAATATCTAAAATACAAGGCATCTTTCTGCTGAACTATAAATATAATGCCAAACTATCTTCCAAGATTGTTCTATCAACTTACATTCATCAGCAGCTTTACATGTAGCATTATTTGTAATAAAATTAGTCTCCAATTTTCTTGTGCATTACAATGAAGCATTAGCAATAAAACAAATTTCAAATGTATTGTATTGTAAAAAACCTTGAGTAGGCATTCTTGTATAATATTTTTATCTTATCTTTTTTAATGATGTGGTTTACTGAAATCAATACTGGAATAATAAGTATGCACACTTTAAACTTTAGTATATAGTGCCTCACTGCTCTTCAGAAAAATTTGTGTAAGGGTACATTTTCCACATATTTCAGAAATGTAGAGTAGTGTCAATTTTTTCTATTTTGCTAAATATATAGTTGGAAATATTATACCTTATTATTTCCATGTCCACTTATTTAATATGGTATGAGTGTCTTTTCATAACTTTATTGCTTATTAGCACTTACTTTTATTTCGTTATTTACAATATAAAACAAATAATTTGAATCAATTTAAGAATCTATATATACACACACATATACATATATATATATATAGTAATCACTTAGAAAATATCAAATCCTTTCACTATTGTTTATATTTTACCATAAATTTATATATACATTTCTTAGTCACTTTCCCATCTTTGGAATAAATATCTGATACCAGCAACTTTCAGGAGGAAGGGTTTAATTTGGTTCACAGTTTCAATAGATTTAGTCCATGGTCAGCAGGATCCAAGGCAGAAACATGATGCTGGGGACATGGCAGATGAAATCTGCTCACATCATGGAGACCAGAAAGGAGAGTGAAGGGAGGAGTCAAGGAGGAGGATGCACTCTTCCAAGTCACACTTCTGGCAACCTACTGCTTCTCACTAGGCTTCATTCCAAACGAGATTTGGGGGGGACATTTATATCAAAATCATAACTTTCTGCCCCTACACCCACAAAAACTTATGTCCTTCTCATTATGCAAAATTCACTTAGTCTCTCTCTAAGGATTGCCAAACTCTTAGCAGTCGTAGCATTGCTGGAAAGCCCAAATCCAAAGTCTCCTCCCTGTAGAAATCGAAAAGAAAGTTAAACACTTGAAACATCCAGTGGCACGGGGTAAACGTTCCCATTCCAAAAGGGAGGGATTGAGGATAGACACCAGTGGGACCAAAACAAGACTGAAACCCCGCAGGGCAAACATTAAGTTCTGCACTGCACGTACAGAAGCCAGGGTTGGTTGTAGTGAGACGTGAGCCCGAAAGTGTCTGGGCAGCCCCACCCTTATGGCCTTGCTGGTTGCAGCCTTGCTGGCCTCTATCGTAGACCAGCTCCATTCACTGCCTGCAGCTTTCCTCAGATGTTCCACATTCCTGACCTCTCCGACTTCCTGGGCTCTCCACTGTACTCTCCGCTTCATTCTCACAGCCTCACGCACTACCTTTTCGTGGGCTCCTGGAAAAAAACCACAAAACAAAACACTGTTTTCACACATTTTTGCCTGAACTTCCAGGCCATTTTCTGAGACTTGCGTAAACTCCTTTGGGACACCTAACGCTTGCATTGTTCATGCTCAGAAAATCGGCATCACGTGAATGATGCCAAGGTCAGCCACCAGCTTGGGCGGTACCTAGGACCACTGGGACTGAGGCTGAACTCAGGGATCATAAGGATTCTCTTCTCAAATGAGAGATTTGTAATGTCGCGTCCTCAGGCCTGCAATGCATGGGGTCTTGATAATTTTTAAGATGCCCTGAAGTAATCTCTTTCTGTACCTGTACGAAATACTTGGCTAAAATCAAGAACACAATCTTCCAAGCCACGCTTCCCGTGTCCTCCACCTTCTAATCAGACCTCACTTCTGAATGTGAGACTTTAGGGAAACAACTTGGGTCTAAATCGCAACATACACATGGCAATAATGATTTCAGTAATTAAAATAGACAGCTTTCATTAACTTCTGTTATGTGCTATCAACTTGGCGAAGGATTTTACAAACCTGGTTTATTCATTTATCTCATTTAACATTTGCTAACTATGTCACAAGGGATAATTAGTTATGAAATCATGAGTGAGTGAAACAAAGCTCTTGGTGCGATAACAATAACTAGGCATTAAACAAGTTCAAAACATGAAGTGAAATAAAAAGAAGTGTGTGCTAAAGTAGACAATAACATTAGAAGGCTTTCAAACGTAATAATTGCAGAAGGCCTTCTGAGGTAAAAGCTTTGATCCTGGGCTCTAATGTATAAGAACAAACCAAATTTTGAGGAGAGGAAGATACACACAAATGCCTCACTCGGGAAAATAAGGAAGTAACAAAAAGGCTCTGATTGTCATGATGCAAGCAAATGGAGAAGGATGAAATCACACTGCAGTCAGCAGCAATCAGACCACGGGAGCATGTTGGCGAGGGGAGGAGGCTGCTGTGTTTCTTATGCCCTGAGAAGCTTGGCTTAAGCAAGAAGTGTATGGAGGTGATTTTGACCTTCTGCCAAGGATTCAAATCTTAAGACTAATTGAGCAACCAAATTTCCAGTATTCTACAGAAACTGTGAGTGTAAGTTAAATTATGTTCTTCAAATGTGGCAATCACTATATTTTTTATAGATTCAAGATGGCTGAAAAATACGATCAGCTTGACTTTCAAAAAAAAGTATTTAATAACTCCTATCAATCTTGTGTTACTATAAATGTTGGAGGCAAGGCTTTGATAGGACGTACAAAGCCAGTGCACCCTTTATGATCACACATATACAAAATCTATTTCTAGAACTGAGTTGCAGTGTTCCGACGTTTCATTTGACATGAGTTCACCTGTGTATTTCCTGTGTAATTTGGGTTTGCTGAAACATTTATAGGAATACTCTCACTCAGTAAAGCATACATCTGCAGTCTGACAGCCTGGTTTGCATTGCAGTCAGAATCTTCTTGCTTCATCTGCTTTTAGAATCACAGTAAGTCAGATCTCCCCTGGAGTTTTCTATCCCTGTTTAATCCTCACCAAAAAAAAAAAAAAAAAGCGTTAAGACCTTGGTCCAGTAAGTATTACTTCCATTTTATAGATGGAGAAGTGCACGCTGACCTTGTTTAGCTTCAGATTTCTTACCTATAAAATGGAGGCAATAATGTTAACCTTGCCAACCTTTCATACCTACTCAAATAAAACAAAATAATAATAAAATAATGGGTGGGGAAGTGCCTGAAAAACTAGAACATGTCATAAAAGAGAAGCTACTGCTATGCTTAGCATAGCAGTATTTTGATGATGCTATGCCATCAAAAATAGGATGCATTTGTTCAATACACGTTACAATGCATTTTTACAAAAAGTGTGTGATGACCCATATCTATTTTCATCTTGTTCCTGCTCCCTTTGGGGTGTACAAAGATCTAAACCTTCCAATTTTGAGTGACTCATTTGTTTCTTCAGTTTAAAATATCTCTTTTTAGGTTAAACTAGCCCATCCTTGGCAAAATCACTTGACATGAATTTTAAACTCCCTGGGAGGCTCCCCGGGCTCTGGATTCCCTAGACAATGTGCCGTACAATGCAGGAGGCATTTACATGTCCTTACGAGACCGTAGCAGGGCCTTCTGCTTCTCTTCTGGCTCCCAGGTGCCCTCTGCCAAAGCAAACTCATTCTGCCAATATACAAGGTGCTCGCTGTCCTCTCTGTGGCTGCTTATAAAGTTCTACACCTGATGTCACACAGGGGACAAGGCGGGGCCCCTCACTCCGTGCCCCTCAGCCCCACCCCGTCCTTTCTCCTTTCAGAGTTTTTGCGCCTTAGCCATGGCTCCAGCTGACCCTGCAGCACTCTGCTCGCTGCAGCTGCTGACAGGGGCTGCCTTCTCCCTTCATAACAGGGCTCCCATTTCAGGCCTGTTGCCTCTCAGCCTGCAGCATCCCTAGGGACACAGAGGAAGTTCTGGGTCTCTCCAGTGCTACCAGCCAGTGTGAGGAACTAAAGAAAGGAAACAGGAGCTACTCTCTTCCTCTTCGCTTGCCACCGTTGCTGTTCGTGCTGAGGCAGACCGGTCCAGCCGGAGCCCCAAACTAGGGTGGATACAAGCAATTCTTGCTCTCCTTCCCGAGACTGCAGTGAGCTTCTTTATCCGGTGTTCGCCTTCCTTTCGGCCTCTCTCTGTGTGATAAATAGAGTAGGAAGTCTGCTGACAACAAAAGAAAGCATATCTCACAGTATCACCTCCATTCCAAATGTGTACATATCTGCTCACACAGCGCTATAAGATTTTCAATAGCAGGGCCGGCGGTTTAGCTCACTGGTTCTGCCGCCTGCCTCGCAAGCGCAAGGACCCAAGCTGGATCTCCGGTAAAAAAAAAAAAAAAAAAAGATTCACAATAGCATTGACCACTGACTCTGCAATGCATCTTTGTATCAATAGTACAAAGACTGGTGCTTTGCCTATAATTGACCCTCATTGGAAGTTTGTTGAGTGAATAAATGATTGAGTCCTCTTATAAGTGAAAAAAAATTAAATACAGTGTTTTACCCAAAATTACAATAGTCAGAAGATTAGCTGGGACCAGGTCAAGTAACTTTTCAACACAACATATGGCATTTTACCTAGTCTTCTTTCCATGGCTACCAATACAATGTCAAGAATATAAGATCCAGGCGATCACCCGGCGGCGTGCGCGTGAGCTCCCGGCGTGCGCGAGAGCTCCCGGCCTGCGCGACAACAGACCCAGGAAGGACCCAAGGACCCCAGAGGGGGTTTTT